ACTTAATTTTGACTAAAAGATTTCCTGGCCATTAACGTCCTATGTCTCCATATAGATCACAACGCCAGGAAAGGGAAAGAATCCAGATCAGCAAACTCCTGAAACAGACATCAATCTGCCTTCCTCCTTATCTTGTCTTCCTAATGTGGGCTTTTGGTTTCACTTCTGTGTATCATTTTGTTTCTGTTTTTAGTATTTGTTGCTCAGCAATTTTATTATTTGCTAACTCTTTTCAATTATGATCTATTTATATAAACACACACACACACACACATTTTATACATACATACACACAGGCACACACATATTTGCCAACTCCATTTGCAGTATACATTTGTTATGTACTTGAGTAGCTCTACTCGAAACAGAACAATAATTAAAACTTACGTATAATATTTTTAGTTTCCTTGCTCTATCACTTCTTTTCTTAGGAACTGTGAATAATGTGGTCATAGTCTTAGGCTCATTTATAGTTCCCATTAAACTTAAAGAAATTTCCTTCTGATCCAATGAAGCTGTGATCAATATCTGATCAAGCTATGTGGAGGTCAATTGAGATAGTATGTTATTTACTGAAAACTATAATAAGGCTTTGATACAGAAGGTACACTGTCATCGTATCTCATCATCAGACAACTATTGTATACATTGTGCCAACACTAAGGAAGCACTACAGGGGTTAGATCTTTTCTTTAGTGTTAGTGTACTTTAGCAGATCTTTTCTTTAGTGTTAGAAAACAACGATCCAGCCTGAAAATGATTTGGAAGCCCATGCTCCAAACACTTCCTTTAGACAACATTGCAGCTGTTGATTAATATTTGGCAACAGACCAAAAATCACAAGTCACATAAAGGATCAGACTGAATTTTCCCTTGAATATTGTATTACTTTGGCTGTAGCAAACTTCAAGATACAAGTTCAAGATACAACTAAGAAACCTGGTACAAACAGGTGTTTGTGATCTATAGTTATTTCATTGAATAATAATAATTAAAAAATGCTGTTGATCCTAGAGTATTCATTTGGAAATTATTTCCAGTGAACTCAATGGAAGGCTATGAAATAGTCAAAGACATGTATATCTATATAATATAAGTTATTATATAGGTTTCTATATAAACCTAAATATTTGGCTTTTCTATAAAGTTGACATCAATGAGAACATTATCTCATTATTTCTAGGAGCTTGCATTGGATTAAGCTATCTCAGACCCTGAAATGGTTTTGATAATCTGGAAAAGTTTTTAATTTGGGGTGGGATTAATTTGTCTGAACCTGATCATTCCAGTACTGACCTCCATAAAGTTCTAATTTTTATCTGTTCCTCTGAAGCTTCAAAGCACTGCCAAGGAAGAATCTGGTTCTACATACAGAAAAGGCCATGGTGGAGAAGGGGGCATATCCATGGGTGAATTTGCTGTCCCATCATTAGAGTGATCCTTGAGATCGGATCACCAATGGTTATTAAAACCATTAATTACTTAAAAACGTAGGCATGAAAGTGGCTGGGTGACTTTCGGCCAGTCACTCTCTCTCAGCCCAACTCACTTCACAAGGTTGTTGTTGTGGGGAAAATAGGAGGAGGAAGGAATATTAGGGTACTGTATGTTTGCCACCTTGAGTCATTTATAAAAATAAGAAAGGCAGGATAAAAAAAAAAACTAAAAAAATATGCATCATGGAAGGCAATGCGAAAATCCATACTACTTGATATCACCTTATTGTTGCCTGGTCTGTAATTCTAATTATGTGATAGTATTTTTAGCGTCTCTATTCACATTTTTTTCCATTGTAAGATCTTACTTTGGATCCAATCTACAGAAACTTTCAACAATTATTTTATTTATCTATATTTAAAACTTGCTGACTCTTATGAAGGATGATTCCCTTTATAAATCAATAATAACAAAAGAATTCCTTTTTTCAAGCTTAGTCTAAAAGACATGACACAAAATGAAGTAAAAAAATTTATGAAGTAATAAGACAAAATATATATGTAGTTCTTACACAAAACCTGGATGGAAACAGCTGAGGGAGTGAGAATGTCTCAGCAAACTTGTAAAGTGGGATTGTCTTCTTTCTTTCATGCAGACTGAAGGAATGGCCACTACAAGTTGACTATTGAGGGAGAAAGGTGCCTAAGAAAGGAAGAGACCACTGAAGATTTTTGGTAGTACCCTTTATGTTTTGGAATCTAAGATCTTTCCAGTTACGGAAAACTTTGAAATCACAAATCACTTTGAAAACACTTCCCTGACACACCACCATACTTTAAAACTCACAAAGCAAGCCTTTTAAATTATGGGGTAAAATTCAACCAGTTTCATGGTTTAAATAGGTTTCAAATTCAAAGCTGTCTCTTCTGAAAAGTAGAAGACAGTCAAAGGCTACTCAGATATAAAGTAATCTAAAAAACATTGGCTTGTATTTTGTAGAAATCTTATGGTATTTTGGCCATTCTATACAAGATCTTGCTTTTTTTTTTTCAGAAATCACCGGGACATGTCACTGAAATCTCATGAGATATTGATGATTCATGATGTTTGTGTGATCGGAGATTGTTTTAAATTATTAGTGCTTATTTGATCATTAGTACGTGCTCTTACAGATTTTGACCTGTTCACTTCTCTGGTGGCTAGATCTAAACCTCCATCCTTTGATAAATCAACTTACAAATATTGCAAATAATAAGATCCCACTTCCTTGGCTAGAATTCATAATTCCATAAAATCAATTACAATGCTTTCACTTCTTTTCAACCCTACTGAGAACACCATTGCTGATCAGGGAAAATTGATGTCCTGTATCAGTTATTTTTATAATGTTTGAAAGGAAAACCCAGAAGAAAGTCTTAAATCCATATGTAGAGAAGTGTTTTATTTTTTTTTTCCTGGATGTCTTGAGTAATCCTTTTCTGTCTCCATCTTCCCACTTAGACATTGTTCACTGATTTACTTATTTATGAAGTCTGAAGGTTAGTTCCTACCTGCTGAGAGTAATTAGCCCTTTTCTTTGTGTCCTATGCAATCCAGTCTGATTAAATGTACACATTTGTTTTACTTCTTTTTATGTTCCTCCTCTCTTCTTGTTTTGCTTATTTTAAGTTGCAATTATTTTTTTAAAACTGCCTGCATTTTTTCCTTTAAAGTGCAAATGACTATGTGATTTTCTATAATGCCTTAGTGTTGGTATAGCTATGTCAATCTCTGCATTGTTTATTTTTTATTGTTTTTTTCCCAGAACAGACAGTTTACTGAGTATCTCTCTTCCCTCTAAACTCTCTAAATATTGCATGACATATCAGCTTTGTTTTGGAAATCTTGAGAGCACCAGTGGCCCTTAGAGCAGCAGGCTATATACATTTTGGAAAACGCTTGCTTTTTAAAACAGCCCCTCCTTTGCTTTTTGACACTATTTCTATGAGGCAATTTACTAATTCCCCTTGAATCTACTCAGTGTGTGTCTTTCTCGCTTGCCTCCCTCTCTCCCATTGCTACTTTTGTTCCTTGGCCATGTTAAAGTTTCCAATTGACTCCTCCATTGTTACAATTTGTCACTCTGGAAGATCAATTTGTTTTACTCCACTCATCAACAGAGTAGAATCGGGTGCCAGATGTCATTTTTAGCAGCCACGTTCGTCTGCTGCTGCCCAGTTTAAGCTGATCACTAACTGCAGAAGAATGCAGTGTTCCACATTCCTGAGCTACACGACCCAGCCTCCGTCCCCTCCCCCAATAATCTATATTTGGCAATTCATTTACTAGCCAGCTATGGGGACCACACAGTTGGATCACACACACGCAGCAGTATTTCTTCTTAAGAGCCATTCTGCCTTCGGTTGGGAGTTTTTCTGATGGCGGGAAGCAGAAGGAATACTGTACTGGCAGAAGAGAAAGAAAACAGAAAGTTCGCGCTTCTCTCTAAAAAGTCTCACTGTCCTCGACTCTCCCGCGGGGCAATTAACTAGTCCCGTCCATTCATCCGCTTCCTACCCATGTATCAAACCATCCCAGGAATGGTGGATTGTTCTAAGCCGGCCTTTTCCCCTTGTTTTGGTCATCGGCGTCCGATCCCTAGAAGCCAGGCTTGGCGCACTTTGCCTGCGGTTCTTGGGGCTACGGGCTTGGGCGCTTACTTGGGAGTAAGCCCCGTGGAACTCTCGTTCGAGTAACCCCGCGGTAGACTCAAGTCCCAGAGGCGTTAACTGGGAAGATCCCCCGCGGAAATCGCGGGGCTTCTTTTCGAGTAAAGATATTCGGGCTCGGGCTGCACTTCAGCGCCCGGGGCCCCCGCCCCCCAACACTTTCAAACCCAGCACAAAACTATTTGGAAGCCGCACGACAACCGGAGTTCTCTTCGCTTTCCCCTCCTCTTTCAGCAATAAAATGGGGAAAAATAAGCCTGAGAACACTATTCTGGCTGCAGATGAGAAACAAAAACATTTTACAGCCGTTAAAAAGAGCACACACCCCCACCCCCGCAAAATAAAATGCGAAATGATCTCAGGGACTGAAGCGCAAGCCCGTGCATGTTTATTCGGAAAGAAGTCCCAGAGGACCGAAATCACTTCCTGGTAAAAGTGCATCGGATGCAACCCTAAAATTTCACTACACCGCGCCGGAAAGTTGAGTGCGCAACCAAGTGCGGGCACGCAGATACGAAGAGCTGCTTTCATGCCTTGGCGGTTGTGCAAACGCACTACTGAAACGAGTGCCTTTTCCCCTTCCCTAATTTGTTTGATGCAGCCCGAGTTTTGTTCGCTTTGGCCCGCTCGGTTGGAACTGACAGGTTCGCCTCCTCGCCTGTCTGCATTGTCTCTGTTAGCCTGTTCCCCCCCCGCCTGCCTGCCTGCCTGCCTTCGTCGCGGACCCCCCTTCCCGCTCTCTCCAAAAGGGATCATTGTTAGTTTCTCCGTTACCCCCTCCTCCTGTTTATTTATGCACACGTCACCAGGGAGCCCCCGCCCCTCCTGCATCTCATTAAGTGCCCAGTGTTTCTTTCTCCCTGTCAATAATCCTGGATCCCAGACTTCTCCGTTCCTCCGGATTTCGATCCCCTTTTTCTATCTGTCAATCAGCGCCGCCTTTGAACTGAAAAGCTCTCAGTCTAACTTCAACTCACTCAAATCCGACCGGCACAGGCTTCCTATATCTGCAGCTTCTACCCCCTCCCATTTTTACAGCTGATTTGTTTGGTTTGTTTGCTACCATTTTTTTAAATAATTCCCCTCCCCCGTTTTAACCCTCCCTCGTTATATAATTTTTTTCTTATTAATTTTTTGTGTCTCTGCCCGCGTGTCTGTGTGCGCGCTTTACATGCTGATCTGATCATCGGAAGAAAAGAGAGAGAAAAAATCCAGAAGAAGGAAAAGAAGAAACCCAAAGTCACTGGTGCAAAAGGAAAGGAGCAGGGACATTGCCCTCCCCTCCTTCTCCTCCTCCTCCTCCTCCTCCCCCCTCTGTTCCCCTCCCCAAGAGGAAAGAAAAGGAGAAAAGAACTTTCACCTGGGACTCTTCTTAAAATTACAAACTTCTCCCTTTTCTTTCTGTCTTGCTTTTTTTTTTAAGAAAAAAATCCTTCCCCCTTTTCTTTCCTTATTTTTTTCTGCCTCTCCCTCGTTCTGTCCTTGCAAAATTGCTGCTGGTGGGGGTAAGGCAGGAAGAAAATGCCGCAACTCAATGGCGGTGGAGGGGACGATTTGGGGGCAAACGACGAATTGATCTCTTTTAAAGACGAAGGGGAGCAAGAAGAGAAGATCTCGGAGAATTCTTCGGCAGAGAGGGATTTAGCGGACGTCAAATCGTCTCTGGTCAATGAATCAGAAACTAATCAAAACAGCTCCTCTGACTCGGAGGTAAGAAACATTCCCCCCTTTGAAGCACACCTGCCTTGCTCAACTTTGGCGGGAGGATTCTCGGAGAAGAGAGGGGGGAAAGTGGGAAAGGGGGGGTAGAGCGCAACTGAGTTCCAACTTGGTTTTTCCCCGTCATAAATTGCTCTGTTGCCGTATGTTTTGCCTTATGTTTTGCACAAACTTTTAACTTGTTCTCTTGTTTTCTTTCTTCCGTATCTCCCCCACCAACCTACCTCTTCCATCCATTCTTCTGCTGGCTTTTTTTTTTTTTTTTTTTTTCATGATCCCCCCCCCCCGACACCCCGTTCTTGATTTAAGGCGGAGAGGCGGCCTCCGCCTCGGTCCGAAAGTTTCAGAGATAAATCCAGAGAAAGTTTAGAGGAAGGTAAGTTGCTCTCTACGCTTTTCCAGCCACCCTTTTTTCCTTTCGTGGGGAGGAGGCGGATGTGAAATTCTCCTGCGTTTTCTGTCGATTCAAGTACATTAAGTTTTAATTTGGTTTTGTGAAACACTTTCTAACTGTGATTCCCCTTCCCTTTTCTATTTTTCTCCTTGCTCCTCGTTTCCCCGCCATGTTAGCTGCGAAAAGGCAAGATGGAGGGTTGTTTAAGGGCCCACCATACCCTGGGTATCCCTTTATAATGATTCCCGACCTGAGCAGCCCCTACCTCCCCAATGGATCCCTTTCGCCCACGGCGAGAACGGTGAGTGACTTTTTTGTTTCCTTTCCCGGTTTTCCCGCTGTGATCCTGCGCTTCCCTCCTTTTTTTCCACCGCTTCCCAAAGCCCCCAGTGGTTCCTGCCTGTCCCGCCCGTTCTTTCCCACTTCGGCCATGGCACGGCCAGAAACTTTCCAAAACTTTTGTGCGTTCCGCAGACGGCAGGGGGGGCGGGCAAGGGAGGAGAGAGAGGTTTGTTTATACTTCGCCATGTTTATTCCTTTACTTTCAGTTTGAGGGGGAGGTGTGGATTGAGCCCCTATGACTTAAAAAAGAAACCCGATTCGGTACGTTCAGCTCCCTCTCGGCTCTCAGCCCCAGACCCTGCGCTCGAAGTTCCACAAACTCGGGGATTTCTATAGCGCTCTGTTTTCTCCTGCCCTCTTGAGAGGCGACTGGGTTGCTTTCTCTCCCCTCCCCCTTTACTTTCCTCCCACTTAACCCTTTATTTGCTGTCCTAACCTCTCCGAGTTACGTACTAATTTACTGGGATAGTTGCCATTGAATGATTAATTGGTGTTAAATTGTATCTTTTATGTATACACTTTACAGGGGCTCTTGTTTTTAAATTTATTACAGATGGCAGTTTAACTGCAAGCATCTTGCTTTATTGTGTTTTTCCCCTTCCAATTTTGTTTTGTTTTGTTTCTGAGTATTTCTTGAGAAGATTGTGTTGTCTTTTCGGAGTGGGAAAACGTTATTTGCATTCCTTTGCAAGGCGACATTTTTAAAAGGCACAGTTGTTGTTTTTTAATGAAGGATATAGACGTCACAGGCATTATATAACTATGACACAGTTATATACATTACCACTTTTATGATCCTGTCTTGCCTTAGTAGAATAAACGGCTTTTTTTTTCTTTACAAAGTAAAAATCTCAAGCAATCTTCCTGTCCTTTTCTCTTAGTTGTGTGTGGCTTCAGGAAGAGTCACACCGAGTCAGCAGGATTTATGAAAATGCACGCTACCTTTTTCTTCTTCTTCTTAAAAACAGAATCAAACCTCAGCAAAAGCATTAAATAAAGGAACAAGCCTTTACTTGAATGGAATATTTTAAATCACAAGCATACGTACATTACTCTTACTGAAGGATATATACTTTTATGGGTGTGGCAGAAAGATCAGAAGGCGTGGCAGAAAATAAGTTGCTGTGGCCATTAGATTGTTTTATTAAAGCTCTTCATAGATATAAAGTGTTGGCTACTATTTTATATAACTTAATAGATTTATGCCAACTCTACTTGTTCTTCCTAGAAGTAAAATAAACTTTTTATCACTATTATTTATAAATTGACTTACAGTGCCCCCAGGGAATGCAGAATTCGTACACAATCTGTTGTTAGGTTTTCTGTTTAATCTTTAAATTAAGTTTTCTATCCTACTTCCTTTCTTCTGGTTTCTTCAAGTTACCTTTTCCTTTTATAGTGGTAGTATAAGACATGAATGGTGAATCATAAATCCACTGTTAAATACATGTGGGATTCCTGTTAATTCCAGTCTAGAATAGGAGATATTTTCAATGCATTTTAAAATATCAGGGTCAGACTTGTTTTTATTTAGAGACCAAAATCAGATTACAAATTATAGAGGTCAAGGATGACCAAACAGTGTCTACATGTACATTTTAAAATGTTTTGAAGGATGAGGTTAACCTAGTGAATATATTTTATAATTTGTTGTATTTTAGGGGTCATAGTCAAAGCAAGTAGATAATTTGTAACCACAGTTTTGGTATAATAGAAAGAAAACATGACTAAATATGTAATTGGAGAGGTGATGGGACAGGTAAAGGGTGCCATATGTTGGCAGCAAAATTGTGGCTATTTTGTGGCTATTTAATTGTATACTATGACAGCATAACTTTATTCCCCAACAGAGTTTCTAGAAATAATTTGGAACATTTAAATTTATTTGGCTGGAGAGCTTAGAGACAAATTCCCTTTTCCATATAATAAAGGATATTGCTGCTTTTATACATACTGTATTTTTATCTAGTCACACTTTTGTTCTGGATTAGATCCATCTTCTTTTGAAATGAATGGGGACTATTTCTATGGATGTTTGAATAGACTTTGGATCAGGCCCTAAATAGTTATCTGTTAATAGAAAAAAATCACTTAGTAATAAAGCCCTTTCTAAGGAGTCAGTGCTTTGTATAAAATCTGTTATTTTATTGTTGGTATAACAGGTGACCTTGTTCTTTGCCATCACATGATTGAAAAGGCATTTTCCATCCTCAATAGACAATTTTATTATTTGCATGTCAGCCAGCTGTATATTTCAGTTTCTTTTTTCTTTTTCTCATGCAACTTAAATTATAGATGTAAAGAAAATCCATTATTTATTTTGTGGCAGACTAAAATTATTAGACAATTGATTTTATGTTGTACTGTTCAGGATACATTCAAATAATTAGGGTATTGTTTTTGCAATTCAGAGTGTAAGTAAATAACTAATAATTATATAAATAGAACTATCCTCCCATTTTGAGTGAATGTACTATTGTTTTTAAAAGTTTATCTGTGTAATTATTTTCCTTTTTCACTGTAGATATGGGGCTTTATTTTTATTTAGAAAAATGTTTGTCCTTTGCTATTTTAAAATTGATTTATAGAAACACTGATCTATGATTTTTTTGTGGTACAAATGTAAGTGGTTTTAAGCAATCATTAACAGTGCAGTCCTAGATAATGTCTATTCAGAAGCAAGCCCTGTAAAAAATAAATAGGACTTACTCCCAGGTAAGTGTGAAAGGGATTAAAATCTAAATTTTCTTATGACAAGTGATAGTTCAGTTGCTGAAGAGTATGCAAAACTTAACAGCAATAGTTATATTTTTCAAAGATTCTTCTGCATTATAATAATTATGCTTTTGACAGAGTAATATACCTGGCTGTTAAGAGAACCAATAGGGCTGTATTAAAGATTTAAAAAATGCATTTAGAATTAACTTCCATGAAAATGGATGCCACAAGAATAATACATGAAACTTAATTTAAGAAATTAATGGTAAAGCAATTAAGTAGACAGAATGATTCTGTTTACAAATATAATTTTAATGTTAATATTATTTTAAAATTAAGTTACTATTATCATTACTTTGAAGGTTTGTTTAATGTATTACTTTCCTACATTTGTTTTTGTGATTGGGTTTTATTTCTCAGAATAATTATTTTTATCAACATGTAGGAAATAGGGGAATTATTTGTGATGTAACAAATAATTCGTTTTTTTAATGCTCTGAATTACACTCCTTTATCTTCAACTCAAGAATGTAGATGCTGGAGAGTAAAGAGTTAATAGGATCCCCCCTTTTTTTTCCTGCCATGAATTGTTTTGACAACAGTTTTCAAAACTGCGACAATCTGAGCTTCTGCAGTACAATGTAATATTACTGTAATTACGCTGGTCATTACATTTTAAGTAGAGAACAATGAAATGCTTATCATGCTGAAAAAAAGAACAGGTGTTCCTACCCTTCCTTGGTATTTATGCTAATTTGTTTTTCAACTCCTTTAGAAATATTTATAGCTTTACATTGTTCAAAATTCTGCTTCAAGTGTGAAGGTTTGGTTCATTGCTAATCTTTAGATTGAAGCTTGATTTCTGAAATAAGGATGAAGGTGGTAGTTGGATGTTTATAATGTACATCTAGTTTTCAAATGTCAGTGAGTTCTGGGCTTCGTGGCAGGGATAAGCTGTTCACTGAATTGAACCATTCACTTTTTTATGGCTTTAATGGAAAAAGTGTTTTCTCCTCTTGGACTGTGTAGAAATAAGCTGTTTTGACACCAGTGAAATTAAGCACATTGTCTATGATTCTCTCAGTTCTTAGCATGGTTAGGATGCTGTTTCTGTATAAGATATAGCTTTGCAAACTTTATCTGAGTAATTTTCTTTCAACCTCTCTCATCTGAATTCTTTTTAAAGTCAGGCTGAAGAAGGGAACCAATGCACGAGCCTGCTTCTCACTCTGGAAGGTTAGATTTTATGTTTAATGAAGGCAAAATTTAACCACCTTTTTATTTTCACGTCCCAAGTATTACTTTTTTGTTAGGAAACTATGCTAAAACATAGATTATTAGCTTGCCAAACTTGGTATTTTACCTTAAAGAGCTCTAGGGTTCATGCATTAGGAACATTATTATTTTTTCTTTCTTTCTTTCTTTCTGTTTTTTAAAGACAGGGTAGAAAAAAGACAGCTGCAGAATTCTCTTTCTTTTCTTTTGCATAGATGTATACCATGACTAAAATTGCTCAACCCCCATTTACAGCTGTCTGGCAGTTATGTGGAAGCTGGGTTATGGCTGTTAAGCATGAGACAACCTGGATTTAACAAATGTTTCCCTAAATAGAGAAGAGGTGATTGTTGGAGGGATGGGGGTGGAAGTTGAAAAAACACTAAGGCAGCAATTCATGGCTGCTCTTGAAACATACTTTCTAGCTTTAAAAGAAGAACAGAATAGACATTCTTTAAGCTAAAGTGAATATAGTTGCCAACAAAAGAACTCTCACAGAAACCATGGATGTATGTTTTTTGTTTTAATTTAGAGTTTGAGGTGGAATTGGAGTGTTCTTCCTACACATTACCTGTGGTGAGGTCTTTTTGTCTTCTGCTGCTGCAAAACTTTTAACTGCTGCAGTGGCAGCTGCTTTATTGTTTGCATAGTCAGAAAGTCTGTATTTTCCCAAACTTTTTATTTTTCATTATCATGATCCTTTTGTACTGAGCTATAGCAAATATGCAAGCAGAATGTTGGCCACCAATTCGTGATTGGGTATGTTTGTGAAGGAAATGGTTAACTTTACAACCAAAGGCAAACTTGTACCTCCACAGGTCTGCTGAAAGAAATGTGCCACATTCATTTGCTGGCAGGCACTGAAGGGTCATAAATCTACAGGATTTATTTACAGCCCATAACACTTATGAATGTTAAGATATTTGACGCCACGCTGGCCTTATAATATCCAAGGTCCATAGACAC